ATTTGGGGTCTTCTCAAATGTCCATAGCTGCCCTCTGACTCTGGGATGAGGTCAGTATTAGCAAACAGATGATCAATGGGTTATCACAAGCATCAGCTTACACCAAATATCAACCTGTCTGCTCTAAACTTCACACCAATTCACTCACTCAGCAGCCTTGTACTAGTCCAAATCCTTCAAAAGCAATATGCTGCCACTGTTGTCCTCACTAGTTCTATTTCTATTACAATTGCTAAAAGAACTCTTTATTGCAATGCCTTGGCATTCTAATGCATAAGCCTCTGGCAACTTTCAATAAAGTAATAAGGAACAATGAGGTAAAAATAAGTATGAAGCAATGCTTTTTAATATTTTAATTTAAAAAAACACTTAAAAATGAATGGTAATGTTTAGTGTGTAATAATTAAGTCATAAATGCATACCTCTAAATATAGAGTTTGCTTAATATAGCTTTAAATCAGGCTAGGTGCAAGTTACACAGATGATTCTATTCAGAGCAATCTTTTTATACATCATTTCCCTACATCCCTGTCAATAAAATAGCAGTGACTGCAGAATAAATGATTCATTAGGCTCTTATAACTTCTTGTCTCATGTAATTTATCTACATAATTTTAAATTACTAGAGACTCTCAAGGATCTTTTCTCACTAAAGTGTTTTGAAATTATCCATATTTTATTAAGTTTCAAGGACAACCCTTCACACACACACCCACACACCCTCACATTTGAAATTAAGTAACCATTTAAATTGCTGTCATAATTCATATATTCATAAGGGAGGAAACTAATGCTAAATTAGAAAGTTACATTTAGCATACCATTCATCCTTTTTTATCTGTTACCCAACAACTGGTGATTAGAAGGACTTGAAGCTATTTTAACCCCCTGGACAGCCAAATCCACTTTCAAGGATCCTGGGTTAGGCTGCCTTTCTCAATGGAGTGCCCTCCTCCTCGCTGTATTGCATATGTAATAGGCGTGAGTGTTCTTCAAGTTGGTATAGCAATTTCCTACATTATTCCCGCAATAAAAATGCGATTTAGCCAAATATTAAATTATTGCAATTACAAATCTGTTAATCTAGTGCACATTTTACTCATTTGTGTAACTTTAAAATTCACTTTCATTTGATTGACTGTTTTAATCTCCCTTAACTAGTGAGTAACTGAAAATAAAGGGTTCGTTCCTAGCACTGCAAGGACGAAAAATAGGAAGTGCTTAGAGACTGCAGGGGGATATATTAAAATCTGTCCGTTTTCTCGTTTACATATTCTCATTCTGTGTGTGTACAAACCCACTGCAGTGAGAAGGCAGAGCCCCAACTCGCGGTCTCACAAAAGCACCGCGCTGGTTCCATGTGTTGACAGCAGAAATTGGCCCACATCTCGAGCCATTTCCTCGGAAGACCCAGCCTGGCTGGTGCCATCCAGGTGCCGCACACTCGGAACAGGGGCGCCTGGGAACAGTTCCACGCATCTGTCAGTGCGGTGGCTCATTCTTCAGAGACTGCCATTGGCTGCCTGGGACCCGAGCGCCATCAATCTTACCGGGTAGGGGATGGCCGGGCGGCCTGTAAGAGGCTGAGAGAGGGGCCAGCCCGTCCAGCACGGAGGAGGGGGCCGGAGGAGGGGGCCTTAAAGCCCCGCTCTCCCTCCTCCGGGGCGCTGAGTGAAAGATCTGTCATCTCTCCCATTTCCTGGTGCTTGGTATGCATATGGTGTCCGCCTGCTCCTGCTCCAGGAAGGAGGCGATTTTTCAAGCTTAGGCAAATGTGGCAAAGCGCAGGGTCTGCTGGGGTCTCATTTTTCCTCATCATGTCGCTGGTTTGAACGGATTTGAGAAAATGAGATTATGTTTTTCCTCTTTTCTCCTTTATCCAGCTATTTGTTTATTTATTTGCTCATTTAGAGGTGGGTTGTCACAGAGAACTGGCCCGATTTCTCTCTTGTTTTCATACACATTTCATTAGTGTCCCTGAAGATTTAAGACCCCAAAGGGAAACATCCCAGATCTCATCACAAAAAGCATAGATTTACTCTTAAAATCAAAACAGAAGGCCACATTAAAGAAGACTGTTTCTGAATGAAATAATCTAGAATATTGCCATGTCCAAGATCTATTGCTTTAATCTTTTCAGCTATTCTTAAAACCCCAAGGAAGTTGAATAAACATATTACATACATTGGACTTTCAATTTAATATCGTTTTAATCTTTCTGTCTGGAAAGAATATTTATAGTTTCTTCATTTCATCAATGAATCTGAAATGAGTCTCAAATATAAAAGTACTTGGGGTTGAAATTGGTGTCAGTGCTGGTTTCCTGGGGTATTTGAAGCACAGATTGATGACATAACACTATGCATTGGTGATCATAAGCAATTTCTGAGGGTAGACAATGAGAAAACTAATACTGAGTTTCACTTCAGCCAGAACCTAATGGTGTGTTTCTGAGTTTAAAATTATAACATTTTTATAATAAGCCTCATAAGGACATGAGTTTATTACATAGCATAATCATAACCCCTCATTAAAAAAAAAAAAAAAAAAAAACCTCGAAGATTAACAGATTACCAGAGACAGTGTATGTGGAGCTTACTGCAAAGTGCGCCGTTTCTCCTGACTATGCATCGAGAGGGAAACAAGACACACCATATTTGGTGACTATGCTAGCCGGGTACCATGTAGTTTAAAACAACAGCAAAAGTGAAAACGAAGTTTTGACCTCGGTGGATGGACTAGATGTGTGAACAGCAAATGCTGGTCACCAGCATCCCTGGCCTTCTGTGCTCAGCTGGTAAGTGGGGCGACGTCAGTCATTCCTGATATTAATGAAGAGGTTCACAACTTACAAAGCACTGCCGAGGAGGTTGCTCCATTTACACCCCGAAACATCCCTGGAGGGGAGGGAAATGGAGCCGCGGAAGAAAAGGGACTTGCCCAATGTCAGGGCACTAATGTTAAAGGGGATGGCCAGTTCTGAGCTCTGCGTCATCATATGCCACCCCCTCCCCCTAGCCCCCCTCCCCCGCCCGCCCGCCACGCCCCCTTTCCAATGGCTTTGCAGTTCAAGTGGGTCCATACATTGACATAACTTGAAAGTTTTCAAAGATTTTGCCAAGGGACTGCCAGTTCCTCAGGGGCTACTTGGCATTGTTCTCTGCCCTGAGAGGCATTGCTTACAGCCTCCTGGGGGCCAGGCTCGGGGGAAATGACTGGCCTGGCCGCCAATGGCCGTCACTGCCGTGTGGTCTCAGCCACCCCGTCCCTCAGAGCTTCCCTCTCGAGGCCGGAGGAGGGGGAGGGGCTTGCACCGACTTGCACCAGGGCCAAGCGGAGCCACGGCATTAACCTGGGGAGTAACTGAAACTCACGCAGTTGCGTTTGTTAAGTGTCCCTGCGGTTAGGCAGGACCAGGGATGCAGGTTCCCCGCGCGATTTGTATGACTATGTAACAAGGCAAAGCCATTTTTGCCAGAACGGATCTGTGACTAACTGACTGGAGGCGACGTGCGGGTTCCCAAACCCACGTCTGCGGCTCCTCCGCCTGGCACCGGAGCTGGGTGCCCGGCGGTGCGGCTCCGGGCCCCGGACCCACGCGGCAGAAAGGCGGGCGCGCCCCGCGATGGAGCGCGACCCAGGCCCACCGGCGGGGTCCCCGGCCCTCGCCTCCCTCCTCCTCCAGGGCGTGGGGAGCGAGGGCGGCTGGGCCCCAGGCAGCCCGGCGGCCGCAGCCCGGATCTCGGGCCGCCCCCGACCCTCCTCCCGGGCGACCCGGGCTCCGCGGGAGCAGCTGGCGCGCGGGAGGACCTGCCGCACCCGCTCCTGGCGGCCGCCCAGCCGGATGCAGGGGCGCCGGCAGGTGATGCTGGAGGACAGGACCAGCCGGGATCCGGGATCCGGGATCCGGACCCGGGACCCGAGCGCGGCTGCGGAGCCGGGAGCCAGAGGCGTGGACGCGGCGGAGGAAGCCGGCGGAGGCGGGAGGCCGGGGGGGGGGGGGGGGGGGGGGGCGGGTTTGGAGAGGGGGGTGCAGGGCCGGTAGCCATGAGAACTGCGGCTCGCGAGCTCGGGCGCAACTGGTCCCCGGAGCTCTGACCTGGGGGCGGCGCCCGGAGACGGCGGGAGAAGGCGGAGGTGCAGGAAATGGACGCAAAGGCTGAAGCTAAACCGAAAATGGACGGAAATCTTTCTGAGAAGCTGGGCGGGTGCGGACGACCGAGCTGGGAACAGTGATGAGAAAGCTGGCGAGGCAAAGGAGGCGAGAAACCCCCAGATTTCAGAGCGCGGCCACGAAAGGGTAAACAACATATTTTGAACAGAAAGACCAAGAAAGCAAAATGCTTCCAGAACTCAAAATCCAATACAGGGAAAACACCCAATCAGGTTCAGGGGAACTGGCCCCTGAAGCTGCCCAGAGAAGCCGCGGAGATACTGGTGAACAGAAAGGGAAGAAAGGGAGAAAGGAGGGAAGACAGATTATACCAGACAAGAAATAGTAAGTTACTTTTTAATTTCTTTTTCATTGACAAACTATTTCCAAAGTCAGTTTGGGCACGAATATTCCCACAAAATTCTTAGCCCCTTACACACCAAGATGATAGTATCTACACTAGATAAAAATGCATCCAAGAATACACACACATTATTTTGTCAGTTGCAAATATCATATTTTGTCCCCCTAAAAACAATCTCCAAGTCTTGAAAATTATCCCACCTCTTATAGACTATTCTATTTTTGGCCAAAGTACACTAAACAAAGGACTTTTCAGTGTGTGTGTATGTGAGGTGGGCTCTTAGAGACAACCCCATTTTTGAGAAGTTAATAGAAACACCGCCAAGCCATTTTAGTGACCCCCTTTTCCCAAGGCCTCTAGCCAACAATATGTCTTGGAATTCAGAGGCGAGCTGCCCAGACCACAGCACGGGAGTCGCCTGCCTTCACCATCTGTTAAGGAGACAGCGGTGAGCCTGGGGGCTGCAGCGAGCCAGCGGCTTACCTGGTCTGTGCAGGTGGGGCTGCTGGAAGGTGTGCTGGAGGGCTCCGTGGCAGAGCAGCATGGCACAGGCACTTATCCACAGGTACAGGGCCCAGGACATCGCCGAGACCACCGCCATGCTCTGGAGGGGACAGCAGACAGGGAGGGTCAGCCCCAGCTCCCAGGCCCCAGCCCACTCAGCTCCACTGAGGAGAGCAGGGGGTCTGGGGCTCATGCCCCTCTGCTGCTAGAAAACAAGGCCAGCAGAGGTCATGCCGCGCGGCAGGACTGAAGAAAAGCACTCTCCAGAAGATCATGCATTCATTTGTGAAATTCTGCAAAACCAAACTCCAAGAATTCCCAAAAGACAAAAATAAATTAAAGTTTGCCTATGGCTTAGGCAGTTTGAAACACAGTATCCTAACTAACCTTCCTGTTTGACACACTGATCTGTAAGTGACAGTTTTTCCAGGCACTGGAAAGCTGCACACTCCTGCTCATTCTAACTTCATTGCAAGTCTGACATAATGAAAGGAAAGAGTGGATTCTTTTTTTTTTTAATTCTACAGTCATGAATTTTTAATCACTATGCTATCTTCTAAACTAAGTAATCATTTCTCAGAGGCATGTTGTAATCTCCTGATAGAATCAGTCTCTCTGGCTGGACTTAAAATCAGAAGGAATTGTCTTCAGCCAGAATGAGTTTCACAATGCAAGACCTGTGCGTCTGCCACAGAGCAAGCCGTAATTTACAATACTGCTTCGCCGCCTCGGATCCGGTTGTGGCATTTGAGGTACAGTGCTGATGAATATGCATATACAGGTGGTGTATGCATTTATGGATGAGCACACACCTTTTCACAGGCACTGAAACTTTGACAGTCTTATCTGCACCCATACGGACCTTAGAGCTGCAAAGACTCAGCTACGCTACATAATGTCCAATTTCTCAAACAACACCTTCTGCCGCACTTCATCTTGCCAGATTAATCAATTTGAACATCATCCTCACTCAGCCAGTGATAGGGAAGCATTTTCTACACAGGAATACAGTGAAGTGTATGCTATTCTCTTAGGTAGAGAGAGCTTCGGAACCAAGTTTGTTTCTTTTTCTTTTTCTTTTTCTTTTTTTAAATTTCCCATTGTCAAATCATACAGTTCAAGTATTCCAACTATATATTTAAAACCTGCTAGTGACCTCCCATTGTGGCTTTTTTACTCATGGAAATTAGTACTCTTTCAAGAGACTGTGATTTTAGAAAGCAAAAATATGCATTATATGTGTGTGTGTACAGACATAGTACAAGCTAATTTATGGGTTTTAAGAGAGAGATGTCTTTAAGAAGGGTTTTAGGACTATAATAGACAAATGGTGACAACCATAATTAAGTGCAAAGTAGGAAAACATTATTTTCAACAGCATTATTTTCAACAGCTTGTGCTTTTCCGGCCCCAGTCTGGGATTCAGATGGACCATCCACTTTCTAATTGTCTCACTGCCCACTGTTTACTTTTGTATACAACAGATTTAGCTCATTGTCTCCAGAACTATCAGTGTAACATAGGTTCATTCTCTTTAGCAGTAAATTGCAACACCCCTCCTGGGAATCCTGAATGAATGCATTTTGGGGTCTTTGCAAAATACCCTGAAAATTATAGAAAGACAAAGCAGAGGTGACCGTGGCACGCACTGACTGCTTGTGAATTTCAGCTAAAATGCAGCAGGAATCCATCTAAACTTGGAAAAAGCCTACCACAATCAAAATGTCACAGTTGTCCAGTGCCTCTTGCTCATTTTGTCACCCACTTGATCTTGGCACTCAGAAAGATTACTGTGACTTGACCTTTACAGGATTTTCTTTCTTTTCCTTTCTTTTAAATTTAACTTTCTTTCATTCTCAGCATTACTTTCAAGGTCCCTACATATCGCTCCATAGCCTACTCTCTATGTTGATAAGTGCTTTCCCCCAAATAATGCATGCAGCCTTACCTAGTTCCCTAGAGAAGACTGAATAGGTTACAAATCTGCTTTCTGAATCTTAAATCCTTAGAAGAGGCTTCTTACCTGAGAAATCCAGCCAGGAGCAGAGCTCTCTGTTAGTGTTCATTGGAAAGCTCTACCACTTTCTAAAACCCATCTGTGCCACAATTCGAGATATTTTTAAAGAGAGCTTCCAATAGTCTTCTTTATCAAGATTTTTTAAAAAATGTTTCTTCTCTTCTGATGCTATTTCCACAATAAAGGAGACATCGGGTTCATTCAGACTGTATTGTCAAAAGAGGAGCCAAGGTTTGAAGGCTGGAAACCTTGTCATTTTCACCTTTAAATCATCTCCTGGCGTCGCCTCTGCCTGACGAGACCTTTGAAGTGATGGTGAGATAATGTGCAGTTTCCTGATGAGAATCAGTTTATAATTAATGACGGACCATCCCCTCTCCGGTGCATTCAGGGCAGAGTAGGCAGCAAAATGTAGGAGCTGGGCTGCTACACGGTGCTGTAAGTAGCAGGAGTCTGTTTCAATACATCCCTCCTCTGTAAAGTATCACATGTCTTAAAGTGACATTACCTCTATTACAGCTACAGTGGGTTGTACTACCTGCCCACTAACTCTTCCACAACTCGAGCAGCACTGTAACACTGTAGTGCCTGGTACGTTAGGTTAGAGATTGTATCAATAACACTCATTTGCCAAAAGAATAAAGAAGGAAGGAGAAACAAAAGCAAAAAGCATTCTGCAAAATATTGATAGCATTAATGGGTATTAGACTTCTAAAGTAAATGGGAAAGTGAAATATGAGCCATTTCTAACCCCTTAATGTTCTTATAACCAATAAGTTAACAAAAAATGTTGGTAAGTTCATATACATTCAAGTCTCTCAAATGTTTTGACAGCTAAATCTGGGAATATGGCATATCTGGAATACAATGTAATGTTTATCTGCATAAGCCCAATAGAAACCTTCTGGGTTTTTTTTTAACAGGTTTAATAAATAGAAATATGTCATTTCCAGTATTGAAGTCTGGGTTTTGACAAATAAATATACCGAAAGTGCTATCTTTAAATGTCTCTCCTTCTCAAATAAAATGCTGAGATGGGAAGAGGAAATACTCAAAAGTTCAATATTTTGCTCTAGTGCTAAGGTTTGAACACTTTCTTCTTTGGAAATCTAGTGTGTTTGGATTGTACCTAAATATCAACAATGTAAGGTCACTTACAGACGGCATTGCACCAGCAATGATTCTCAGAAATACTCATCCAATTCTTTCACAAATCCCTTATAAAGCACCTAGTGTGTGCAGATGCATGGGGACAAGGCAGAAAACACGATTGACGTGATCTCCATGGTCAAAGATTCTAGTCTTTCGTGTTGTTTTGAAAATCAAGTTAATTCTTATAATTTTCCTCCTCAAAAGCCTTTTGAAATGCTTCAGAATATTCTCTTGCCTTTTTGCAGGCATTATAAAGAAGGTTTGCTGCTGCAATGAATATCTGGAAGCCATTGTCTCTTCCCGTTTTACAAACAATGAGGGAGTGGGGGGGGGGCCTTCAGACTCATCAGTCTTTCCCACTGGTCTTTCTCATTGCACTGTGCATGCATAATAGCTCTTTGGAACTTAACAACTGTTTAGTGAATCAGACCAATAAACAAATTTCAAGATAACAGTGACTACTAATCTTACAGTTAAAAATAAGTCAAACACCAGAGTTCTACTTGGTATTGTATGTGTCCTTTCTGTGGTTCATTATTGTTGTATTGGTGAATATATATAGAAAGTTGACACAGACTGGGCAATATCAAGACTAAAATAATAATAACATCAGTGGCAGCAGCTAATGTTTGTTAAGCCTTCACCATGTGCTGGTTCTACTCCATAGTATGTTTCCTGTAAGGTGTAATTCAGAACTTTTCACTGACCCCAGAACATATTGCTATTATCTCCATTTCATGAGCGGTGAACTTGAGAGAGGACAGAGAGATTAAGAAATTTGCTGAAGGTAATAGAGCGAGGAAGTGATAGAGAAGGTTGCAAACCCCAGTGATTAGGTTAGGAGCCCATCTATTAAATACCGGGATAAAACAATTTCTGGGAAAAACAAACTACACGAAGTTAATTATTACATTATACACCGAGTGGCCAGATTATTATGACCTGCCAGATTATTATGACCACCCCATCAATACAATGAAGTGAATTAGTTATGCAAATAATAATAATAATAAAACCTTGAGAGTATTTGCTTAGGAAGTTTTCAATATTCAGTATTTTTGGAAGTGTCAATGAAGTACTGATGGGGTGGTCATAATAATCTGGCTGGTCATAATAATCTGGCCATTTAATGTACATTAACGTTAAAACACTCTCAAAAAATTACTCACTTTTTTAAGAGGCAAATATTGAGTCCCTTCCAGGCATTTGGAAAATAGCAGTGTGAAGACTGGTCTTGTTTTTGTTCTTGCTATGCTAATGAATTAAAATGAAAAGGAAGTTCACATTTGCTAATAAAGGCTACCATTTTGAAAATCTGTAACCATTCTTTTCTTCATTTCTATGGATTTAATTAAGGCTCAATATAGTTCCTTATCTAGAATTCAACTCATTTTAACAAACTTGAAATATGTTCTATGGATTCTGTTCAAGCCACTCAAATAAGAATTGTTGATAATTAAAATTTTTTAAAAAATTAAAAAGATTGGAAGAAAGACTTGCCCTTTAAGGTTTAAGTGAATTTCTATCTATGTATGTAATAAAACAAGAATATCAACACTTCCATTTTTTTCTAACAAATACATTGTAGTTGATTATATTGTAGCCAATTATCATTTATCCTAATAATATAAGCATCCATACACATTGATATTTAAGACAATTCAGTCCATTCTCCCAACTAAAAGTGAACTACGTTCACACATCTCAAAGAAGTGTGGGCCTTTCTACCTTTGCAACTGTAAGCTTGCACTTCCTGATCCTTCATGGTTGGGAGGACTGTAAACTTTCAGCCAATGAGGTACCGCTTTAAAGTTGGAACATTTAAAGGTTGAAGCACCTCTCCCTCCCCAGATCTCTCTTTGCAATCTCAGCCTGGATCCATGACTGGCTACAAAGAGGAGAGGCCTCTCATTTCCCATACCAGCCCATAATGCATGTACATAATGAATAAGCAATACTTTGTTCTTTAAGCAATTGAGACTTGGGGGCTACTTGTTATTACAGCATATCCAAATCTATCCTGACTGTTGAAGATTTTAGCCAGTATTATTCATATAACATTTTTTCATTAAACAATTTTTATGTCCTAGCCACTGTTCTAAGCACTGAGGAGATAGCAGTGTCTGCATCTCACCAAGTTCCTACCTTCACTGAGCCCTCTGCAATAGGAATACTTTGGAGGTCTTTTATTAGAGGAGTGTTAGTTCCAAAGCATTGATTGTTGCAGCTGGAGTATCTAAGGGTTCTCATAAACCAAGAGTTATAAGCTGATCACTTACGTTGCCCATGAGCATGCTCTGTTCAGCCATTTTGTTATGCAGCACAATATTTCAAAAGGCAAAAGTCCAGAGCACCATAGCCCATCCCTAATGCTTAATTCTCATGGAATCCTACCTAATGCTTAATCCCTAAAGATACACCTTTCAAATACAGTGTCTGCGTAAGTGCACACTTGTGTGTACATTACAGAAAGAAAATCCCAATCACCAGAACTCCTCCCTATGGAGGAATCCACATTCTGTCATAAGAAAGGCTCAGTGAAAGTAAGGGGGGTGGGGGAGCTGACACACTCAGAATTCTTAAAGAAACAAGAATATTCAGCAAATTGCCTGCATAGTAAAAGGCAGGGGGAGGAGGGATGGGGTTCCAGTATGTAATCGGGTAGAAATCTGGAGGGAAGAAAAAAAATAGTGAGGAGCAGAGAGACAGAGCTAGAGAGAAACACATTAGAGGCGCAGAAATAAAAGCTCTGAGGGCAGGAGTTTCCACTGGGAATATTTTGGTGGAAAAAGATACCCTGTGGCGTGTGACTCCTTCCTGTCTCTCTCCAAATAATTATGAAAACCTAGGGGGGAAATACCCTCACATATACTTTGTAGTGGTAAGTTGTGTGTGTGTGGGGGGGGGGGGGGGACCATGGGAGGGCCTGAATTCTGTATCAAGGCTCAAAGTACCACCATAAACTCCCTCATTCCCATGATTACCACACTTCCCATTTCTTGGCATCTTTAGCTTAGTTGAGGAACAATCCACTTAATAATTTGGCTATTTTTAATTGACAAATGTGCTGGAAAAAAATGAGACGGACAAGATTTTATGTTTGTGCATATTTCTAAATTGAAAAGCAAGTAAGGGAATTTAAATAAATTACATCTGGACTGAGAAACATGCCAACTTTCAGTCAAACTAAAGTGCCTTATATGCACAGCACTTAAACCAGTTCTAAGTATTTCTTGAGAAAACACATTTTGGTTGGGTTTTCACAACCCTGATGTTTTCTCTTATTCCATTTAATTGACTAATGTGACTGGAGGCGTGGATAAAAGGACCACTGTCATGGCACCTGACCTCTAATCTCTATGCTTGCTGTAGCATTGAAGCCCAACTTCTGTTTTCTGTAGTAACTGGGACTACCCATCAGTTGGTTGACAGTGTGTCTGTTTTAAATCCCTGATGATAGTAGATCTTTTCCCTTGGGTAAGTATTACTATTACCCTATCTTTTTTCCATAGCTCAACTGCATAAATCAATTATGTTATCACCCCTTTTATAGAACTCACTTGAAATATTCCCATCTCTCATGGAATCCTACCTAGCATGTGCCCCATACCAGGTACACAGCAACATCCCTAGCTTGTCAGTCTTCCCTTTGGGATCTAAGTATGGTACAAACTAGTGTACTTCCCTTATTTACAGTGTTATTCTGTACCATGCATTGTTTCAAAATATATTTAAGCTAAGAATTGGAAAAGGATGATGAATAGAAAGCAGATGAAGTACAACAAGAAAATCTGAATTATAATAATTCTATCTAATAAAAGACAAAAAGGGTAATTAACCATACCTCCGCTACGCTTTCCATTGGCTAATCAGCGAGATATGCAAATTAACTGCCAACAAAGATGGCAGCTGGCAGCCACGCAGCTGAAGTGAGCAGGAGGCTTGCTTGCTCCAGTGATGGAGGAAGCCAAGGTTCCCCGCCTGCCGTGGCCCCGGCTCTGAGCTCCGAAAGCAACAAAGTTTAAATTATAGAAGCTAAACAAATCCCAGATACCTGCTCAGCCTCAGAGCTGGGAGCGCCAGTGACGGCAACAAAGTTTCAATTATAGAAGGTAAATAAATCCCAGAATCAAAAAAGAAAAGAAAAAAAGGAGAGGCTGGGAGCTTCAGTCGCTGGCCAGCCTGAAAACGGCTCTCAGCCCCTCACCCAGACTGGCCAAGCACCCCAGTGGGGACCCCCACCCTGAAGGGGGTGTGACCAGCTGCAAACAGCCATTAGCCCCTCACCCAAGCTGGCCA